AAGCAGCTGCTTATGTGTGCCTCTTGCTGGGAAAGGTGTGTGAGTACGACTAGTGTGCTAAGAAGAATATGGTCCCACACCTGGAGAGACTGACCAGGGTCCCAAACCACTGCTGGCACCAGTTCTCATGTGGTTGGTGACAGGACACGTCAGTGTAGCCCAGGATGACAAGAACATGGCATTTACTTTGTATTGAGAATTGAGTCTAAGCCAAACCTCTAAGCTACTCCACCCCACCCATCCCCACCCCATCCCTCCCCACCCCATCCCTCTCCACCCATCCCTCTCCACCCATCCCTCTCCACCCCACACCCTCTCCACCCATCCCTCTCCACCCCACACCCTCTCCACCCATCCCTCTCCACCCATCCCTCTATACCCCACCCGTCTCCACTCCTATCACTCTGCACCTCCAGCCCCACTATATCCTTAGCCGTCTATACTCCAGCTCCCTGCACATCCAGTTCTTTCCACCTAAGTCCTCTCTACCCCCAGCCCTCCTTTTCCCTACTTTTTACATTTGGAGACATGTTTCACTAAATTGCTCAGACTGGCCTTGAACTCACTCTGTACCTCCAAACTGGTCTTGAACTTGTGATGTTCCTGCCTTGGTTCCCCAAAAGACTGGGATGACAGGATTGTCACCAGACCTGGCCGTGGCATTTCTTCTCACCAGCAGGGCCCTCCTGGATTTCAGTCCTCCCACCCCCAAGTCTGTGCATCTGCACGCAGCCCAAGAGCCACTCACTGGTGCCATGAACCTCCTCCCCAGTGAAGCGGATGTTGAAGGCATACGTGGGGTCACCACCACTGGCCAGCTTGACGCAGAGCTGAGAGGATGGCACAGAGGCCAGCTGCCGGGCAGCCTGGCAGAAGTAGGAGTTTTCTGAGGCTCTGATTTCCCCTGGAAGTGGAAGGGAGTACATTATAAGCTCCAGTGGCCACGCCCTGCCTGTTCACTAGGAGACTCAAGCCTGGTCAGCCCAGGCTGGCCTTTCTTCCTTCTGCACGTAGACCTCTTTCCTGTGCAGCTAACCCAGAGGCTCTCAGAGGCTTTCTCCCCAAAACTGATACCTGGCTCCTCCCTTGAATCCTTCATGTCTGTTCTGGGCTACACCAAGCCCGTCCTGAACTATAGAACCAGGGCCTGTTCCCAGGTAGAATGGCTTCCACACCCTCCTCCAGGCAGAGGAAAGGCACTGGAGCAGGGAGGGCTCAGCACTTCTGCTTGTCCCTCCTTGAAGCTCGAAGGCCCTACCAGGAGCCTAATACACAGACAGAGGCAGCCCGAAGAGCAAGGGCTAGGATTGCCCCACCACTCTCTGGGGCCTTCCTGGAGGTTTCAAGGGTCAGTTGTCTAAGGACTGCAGTCTGCCCTACCTCCTACAATTTCCAGTGGGTCTAAGGTGATCTCAGGTGCTGCATGGTCAGCTGTCCTCTGCACAGTGGCATTTAGCACTCGATTCATCACAGTCACCTTTGTGTCGTAGAAGATCAGTCCTGAAGAGAGAAATGTGGGAGGGGTGGGATTTAGTTGCTTCTCATTCCCAGTCACCCCTGCAACGTGGGGAAGGCCATATCCATCCCTCAACCCTTCGGAAGGTCTTCTTGTCAGGCCCCTGGGTATCACAGAAACATAGACAAGTGGGAGATAAAAACACGCCATGTAAAATGCCATCTGTAACATCTGTTTTATGTGTGTGGTACTTATGGGGAGGGCAGAGGTCAACATCAGGCATCTCTATCACTGCTTATCTTATTTTATTGGGTGTGGGTGTGTATGTGTGCACGTAAGCACTCATGTTCCTGTGTGCCTGTGCATACATGTAGAAAGGCCAGAGGAGGAGGATGGTGTTCTCCTGTGGCCATATGTCTTATTCCTTTGAGACAGTCCTTCACTGAACCTGGAGGTCACTGATTCAGCTAGGCTGCCTGGCCAGTGAGCTCCCTGAGCCCACCAGTCTCTGCCCTACCCCATCCTGAGGGCGCCCTGGGCAGATGCACCAACCTCATTTCTGAATGCTTTGAACTGTTCGTTCTCTTTTTTCAGGGCTCTGACTACTTTTGATTAGCTTCTTTTAGGGAACTTGCTGCTTGACAGAAGGCCTGCCTGCCAGCCAGCAGCGAGGGAGGGTGAGCCTTCATGCTTGCTGGCTCTGAGGGAGGCCCAGCACTGACCTTTTGCCTCCTTCAGCAGGGCGGCGATGCTGTGTGTGTACATGGGTGTCTGGCGCAGCTCCACTAGGGGCAAGAAGAAGGTCTCCAGTGTGGTGTTGAGAGACTGGAGCAATGCAAAGCGTAGGCGCAAGCTCTCGATCGGCACGTCTGCAGAGAGAAGGTGGGCAGGCTGAGTGGCAGCCAAGCCAGACAGTGTCCGTCCCTAGCAAGGATGACTGGAGTGGGACCGGGGCTCCCCTCCATGGGCTTTAGTCCTGGGAGCCTAGAAAAACTGAGTGGGTGGCTCCCCGGGAACTTAAGCTAGTATCAAACAGGTACAGGGGGTGAGGCCCTGGGAATGCAAGCCTACCCTATCCTTCCCTTGGGCCACACCATGACTGTATATGACCTCAGTGTTTTTGTGGAGACAGAACCCAGGCCTTATGTATACCAGGCAATCACTCTGCTCCTGAGTTACACTCTTGGCCCTACATGGTGTTTTTTTTGTTGTTGTTTTGTTTTGTATTTTAACATTATTTATTTATTTATTTTACATCCTGACTACAGTTTCTCCTCCTCCTCCTCTTCAAATTCCTTCTTCCCACTTCTGTCTCCCCCAATCCACTCCTCCTCTGTTTTTCTTTAGAAAGGGACAGCACTCCCATGGTTATAAAAAAAAGCATGGCATATCAGGTTGCAGTAAGGCTAAGCACCTCCCTTTGTATTCAGGCTGGGCGAGGCGACCCAGGAGTAGGGTCCCAAGAGCTGGCCCTTACAAGGCTTTTAACTTTAAAATAATTACAGCGTATAAGAAGTGGCAAAAGCAGGCCAGAGTCTGGAATGCTCTTCACCCAGCTGCACTCAGCAGTGACACATCCATGCCACTGGCACACTGCCTTTTAGCTAGTTCCCCCTCACAGCTGTGTCCTTTTCCCTGTGAGACTCACATCATGGACAACTTTGTCTCCTGCATCCAGAAGAACGAGGGCACTGTCCTTGCTACCAGGCGAGGCAGTGGCCCTGTGGTGCCTGTGTGCAGCCTTGCGGTGGCTCATTAGAGCTTTCTTGCTGTTCGTTTCAGTTTTTAAGGAAAATGGACTTCCCTCCCCAATGGTCTGCAGAGCCCTGACCCTTGTGGGTGTGGTGACAGGAATCTCTGTCTACTCTGAGAATTATTCCACCTTGGCTTTTTTTTTTCTTTTTTGTTTTTCGAGACAGGGTTTCTGTGTGGCTTTGGAGGCTGTCCTGGAACTAGCTCTGTAGACCAGGCTGGCCTCGAACTCACAGAGATCCGCCTGCCTCTGCCTCCCGAGTGCTGGGATTAAAGGCGTGTGCCACCAACGCCGGCCCGCCTTAGCTTTCTTCTAATGAGCATCAAAGATCAGAGACAAGTTTGGCCAGAGTAACAGCCCCCTCCGCCCTTTCAGTTGATGCTCATGGGGAGTCCTATATTTCTGCATCATGGGGGAATACCCCTAGAGGCCACATACTTGAGAGACAGGCCATCCTGGGGTCGGTGGCATCGGCTGGGTCAAGATACACCTCGTGAGGGTGGAGCCGTGCTGGCGTGATAGCGAGATGGCGGCACAGCCTGTTGATGTACTGCACAAGAGCCACATCCATCTCTAGGGTCCACTTCCTGGAGGCCTTCTGTGCATGTCGGACATCAATGCAGGCACACCTGGGGCAGGACAGGAGAGGCACCAGGTAAGGCACTGTTAGAGCCACACTTAACCCCCGTTTTTCAGGGATTTGGGGGAATTGCTCCTCACAGGAGAAAGCTCTTTCAAAGATCAGGGGTATGGGCATGGAGGAGCCTTGTGGGGAAGTCTGGAACCCACATGCCATGCACAAGTGCTTTCCTCTTATTAGGTAGAGGTGTGTAGTCCTGGGAAAAGATGGGATGGGGAACACTCAGTGACCTGGGGTAAAGGCACACCCACTTCAGAGTCTGCGTTTACTTTTCTATAACATGAGCTCAGAACGGCATTGATGTCTGCATATCACAAGAATTCATGCCTGTGAAGCACATGGCATGGTGCCTACATTATCTGTGTACTAGTCGTCTGCTGCTGGTACCAACATGGTTCCCCTCAGCTAGGTGACCCCATTTCAGCATTTCCCTGCACAGAGAGACCAAGGTGTGCTCGAAAGGGCTTACTATAAGGCTGTTTTGTTTCGGTAACACTGGGTGCAACATATATGTCCATCCCAGAAACTGTTGCCTAAACTGTGCTGTTCCTAGCAATGGAACTCTGGGCAATCACAGGAGTAATTGTGTGGAACCCCATAACACCAACTGTGTGAAAAACTGGAAAACTCAGACTGCTGACAGTGACTTCAACAGGGCTGAAGACACCTACCTCTAAACCACATGGGGAGAGAAAGCATTATAAACTGCTACCCCTGGGCAGAGCCACAGGGTGTCTTCTGGTCAAGGCAATAATCACCAGTGTGCACATCCCATAGCTGCCAGGAGGAAAATGCAGGGCTGTCTAGTATCCAGGGCTCATGTGCTGGGCTGGCCACAGCATCTCAGGAAGAGACAGGCAGGGACATTGTTCTCTTTACACTAGAGGCCAACTCGGCCCCATACTACAGGTCTCAGATACCCAAGTCCCTCTCACTGGAGAGTTCTTGCCCAGCCCATCCCTAGTGGGCTGATCTGTTCTTAGAGCAGTCAGTGATGAGAAGGGAGGGCCTTCTACTGTCATGAACAAGGAATATTTACTATAGATTTCACTCATGGTCCTGTTCGTGCCCTCCCATCTAGTCTATAGCTCTTGGTCCAGAAAGTCCCTCTAACCTAATTAATGTCTACAGTAGTAAGCAGATTCTCAAACCAGGATAGAGTGCAAACAGTCCCCCAGGAGCACAAATGATGGGGTTGGGTTTCCCACACTTGGAGAAATTACAGGGGTCAGCATGTTCAGAGTGCAATGGGCAAGATGCACCCTAGAAAAAGCACTCTGTGAGCACGGGACACACTCCACCCTGTAAGTCTGAAGTCTGACTTCTCAGGATGTAAGTACTGGGCAGCTCCTCCTTTAATGCTCAGCATGTCCAACTGTGGACAAGGCTGAGGGACCTGAGTGTGGTTTAGTGAGGTGACTTCCTCAGTTCTGCAGACTCCCTGCTGGCCTGGGGTTCATCTGTGGACAGGAGTGAGCCCTGTTTTGTGGGGTCCATGGGACCTGTCCAAGTCCTGCTTTGCTGCCTTCATGGGAATAAGCAGTATCCTTGTCACAGACTAAACTGTAGTATAATAACACTTGGAGAGATAATTATAGAATTAAAGTTAAAAGAGCCAGGCAGTGGTGGTGCAGGCCTTTAATCCCAGCACTCCAGGCAGAGGAAAGCAGATCTCTGTGAGTTCAAGGCCAGCCTGTTCTATAAAGCTAGTTCCAGGACAGCCAGGACTGTTACACAGAGAAACCCTGTCTCCAAAAACAAAACAAAACAAAACAAAAAAAGAAAAAAAGAGAAAAAGCTGAAAGAAATCATGCAAGTGGGCCCTAATCCAACAGGCCTGATGTCTTTTTTTTTTTAAGATTTATTTATTTGGCGCATGCCTTTAATCCCAGCACTAGGGAGACAGAGGCAGGCGGATCTCTGTGAGTTCGAGGCCAGCCTGGTCTACAAAGTGAGTTCCAGGACAGCCTCCAAAGCTACAGAGAAACCCTGTCTCGAAAAACCAAAAAAAAAAAAAAAAAAAAAAAAAAAAAAAAAGATTTATTTATTTATTGTGTATATAGTATTCTGGCTGCATATATCCCTGCAGTCCAGAAGAAGGCACCAGATTTCATTACAGATGGTTGTGAGTCACCATGTGGTTGCTGGGAATTGAACTCAGAACCTCTGGAAGACCAGCCAGTACTCTTAACCACTGTGCCATCTCTCCAGCTTTTTTAAGAAAAAAAAAAGAGTGGAGTCAGGCATAGTGGCTAACACCTTTATTCCCAGTACTTAAGGGGCAAAGGCCGATGGAACTCTATGCTTTCAAGGACAGCCAGGGCTACATAGTGAGACACTGTTTCAAAATGGGAGGGAGGAGGGAGAGAGGGGGACAGAAGCAAGAAAGCAAGCAGACATGAGGTTATGCAAGAACAGAGAGAGGCTGAGTGAGATGAAATGAGCAGGGTACCATGTGCTGGTCACCGGGAGGCCCCACGTAGACTCTAGAACTGCATGGAAAAGTGTCTGCTGTCTAAGCCACGCATGTAATAGCACCAAAAGTCAAGATTTGAAGGAAAAGAACAGTTTGTTTTCAAACAGGTAAGAAAAAAAAATCACTTGACAATTATGTAACTCAGGGAGCAGCTTCACAGGCCAAAGCATCACAGACAGACAGAGCAGACCCTCAGCAGGGTGACAGCTGAGTCATCTGCCTGCCAAAATCATGTCTGTCCTGGACTCAACCTAGAGGAAAGCCAGTCTCTCACCTCTCAAAATGAAGATCATAGCCACAGGATAAGATTGCTCTCCAGACACTGCGGATATCTTGCTTGGCTCGGTCGATGACGAACTTGTGAAATCCTTCTAGGGTCAGGTACTTTTCCTCAGGAGCTGACGGCACAGCAGGTGCATGCAATCAGCGGTGGGAATGAGAGTGTCACAGTCAGGCTGGGAAGCCCACTCACTGTGGCCCTTCACTGTCATTCACTGCGGCTTCTTGCCCCTGGCTTCCTCTGCCAAGCTCCTCTTCCCGGGCTCCCAGTGTTAATTCTGACGTCCCCAGCCTGTCACAGTGTGACGCGGCCTCTGCACACCCAGCCAGGCTTTGCTATGGCTTCCCATCTCCCTTATTTCTCCAAGTCTCAGAAGCGCAAGGTTAACAAAACAGTTAGGACACAGGGAACAGCTTTCTCTGTCTGTGCTTAAGACACCGGGAAGCTTGCTGTCCACAGCCCCTCCCTCCTCAGTTCACTGGTTCAGGCAAGTGCCTTCTAGAAACCCCAAGCACATTTCCACTCCTTCAGTATCCATTCATCTTATTTTTCCCTGCCTTAAGCTGACGGCCACAAAGCCAGCTGTCAGGGACATTTCCCACTGTCTGCACAAACACTTTCCCATCTCAACTGTGACTCAAAGGAGCTGGGGGCATAAAGAGCTGGACTATCTGAGTGGGTGGGCCCGTCCAGGCAGGCCTTGGCTGAGAGGCCCATCCTGGAGTGGGCTGCTGTCCCCAGGATGGAAGCAGGTTCTCCAGCCATGAATGTACCTTCTTGCTTTTTGGTGGGTGACTTTTCTGGATCCTTTTCATCTGGTTTGCTCTTCTCAGGTGACTTTGCCTTCACGGTTGGCTTCTTCTCACTTAACGCAGTCCTGCTACAGATCAAAGAATTGCAGTTAGGATGTGCATGTCCACACTGCCTGCCTACAGGAAACACAGAACCTCACATACTTCAACTATGGTACAGGGGTCACCAGGCTGAGTGTAAGGCTTTGTTCTAAGCCCACAACAGAGATAAACCAATGCTTTCACACGTGAGAACTCCTGAAACTTTTCCGACATTTTCTATATATACAGAATAGCATGGCTCAGTAAAATAGCCAGTAGTGAGATTAGCTACCTACGATTAAGTAACACTGAGTAATTCACAAGCTCAGGTTCTCAACTGCACTCACATCTGCAATGCTCCTAAAAGACCACAGGGCAGCAGTACCGAGCAGTACACGGACGGCACCGAATGCTGTCAGCCCTGGGTATTCCGCAGGACAGGGCCATTTGCACACAGTGGGTTAATGAAAGGGTGTAGGATCTCTCTGGTCACTCATGCAATTTTTCTAGACACACTTGCAGTTCAAGGGCTATTAGGACAGCGAGGATTTGAGTCATAAACTACAGTCAGGCATGACAGGGAGTGCCAGGGTTCCTGAGCTAATGTAGGAGGATCACTACTCTGAGCCTGGCTGGGGTTGCACAGCAAGATCCTGTTTTTTTATTTCTTGGGATAGGATCTCACATAGTCCAAGTTGGAACAAACCATGTAGCCAAGGCTGGCCTTGAATCCTTGGTCCTGCCTCCACTCGTAAGTGTTCACCCTCTGCCCTCACTGGCATTGAGACACTGCCTTAAGAAAATTGTATGGGACGCAGTGGCAGGTGGATCTCTGTGTTTGAGGTCAGCCTGATCTACACAGTGAGTTCCAGGACAGCCAGAACTACCCAGAAAAAAAAAAACTTGTCTCAAAAAATAAAAAAAGAAAGAAAACAATCACACTAAACATGTATGAATACTCAAATATGCAATAGTATGTAGCAACCAACAGAAAGGAAACAGGGGGAAGAAAGATGGCTCAAGAATTAGATGTGCTTTATTGTTCTTGCAGGGCCCAAATCAGGCTGCCAGCACTCACAAGGTAGCACATAACCATTTCTAACTCCAATCCTGGGCCCCCCTCAGGCACCTACAACGCATGTGATGTACATAAACTCATCCAGGCACACATATATACACATTAGTAACACACAAATCTTTGTAAAACATTTTTTAAAAGATGGGAAGGTTGCCAGGAGGTGGTGGCACACACCTTTAAACCCAGCTCTCAGGAGGCAGAAGCCAGTGGATCTCTTTGAGTTCAAGGCCAGCCTGGTCTACAGAGCAAGTTCTATGACAGCCAGGGCTACACAGAGAAACCCTGTCTCAAAAAACAAAACATAACAAAAAGACAGGTAGTTTATTTTTGTGCTGAGCCAAGACTAGTGTTAAAACAGGAATAGCAGGGTGCTCACACTGTGCACAGTACCCACATTTGCACAGGAATACATTCACTATGTGCCACAGACAGTTCTGGAAGACTGCTAACATAATGCATCAGTTTCAGGGAAGGGAACTTTGAAATGACTTATCTTCATTCATTCATTCATTCATTCATTGTGTAGTGCTGGCAACTGAACCCAGAGCCTCATACATACTAGGCAAACACTCTACAACTAAGCTTGCCTATTTATTTATTTATTTATTTATTTATTTATTTATTTATTTATTCATTTATATGAGACAAGGTTTCATCATGTAGCTTTCACTGGCCTGGGACTTGCTATGTATAACAGGCTAGGCTTGAACTCATGGAGATCCTATTGCATCAGCCTACTGAGTGAGTGCTGAGATTAAACGTGTGTATCACCATGCCTCGTTATCCCCAGTTCTCTTCTGGCCTTTTGTTTTGAGACAGGCAACTTAGGAATTCCTCTCTGGACAATTAGGCCTTAAGTTTGTGATCTTTTTGCCTTAGCCTCTTCTGCATTTCATGTCAGTTAAGAAAATGATATACTGGATCTGGAGAGATGGCTCAGAGGTTAAGAGCACTGGCTGCTCTTCCAGAGGTCCTGAGTTCAATTCCCAGCAACCACATAGGGGCTCACAACCATTTATAATGAGATCTGGTGTCCTCTTCTGGCCTACAGGCACACATGCAGGCAGAACACTGTGTACATGTAAATACATCTTTTTAAAAAGATGTTACTAAAAAAAAAAGATACATACAGCCATGTGGTGGTAGTATACGCCTTTAATCCTAGCACTCGGGAGGCAGAGGCAGGCAGATCTTTGAATTTGAGGTCAACCTGGTCTACAGAGAGAGTTCCAGGACAGCCAGAGATCTTATACAAAGAAATACTGTCTTGACAAACCAAAAAAAAAAAAAAAAAAAAAAAACAAAACCAAAACAAACAAACAACAAAAGAAAATGATACATGCATAGAAATTATATGACCTGGGGTCTTGCACATGCTGAATGCACACTTTGCTGCTGAGCTATGTCCCCCATCAGTTATCAGTTTTTCCCTACATGCATTAGAAAAGCTTTCAGTGTATGGATCAAGTATGACTTATTGCGTTGTTTTCTCAGTGAACACTTTGCCTGACAGCCTACATGGAACAGGATTTACTGCACTTGCAGGGGAGGTAAAATGTTAACTTGCAATGGATGAGGCCGAGGACTGAAGGGCTCTCAGCAGCAGAGCAGAGGACAGCTGGCATGCCTGGCTGCCCCAGGGGTG